CAGAAGTGTCCCTGTTTGCAGATGATGTGAAGTTAATGAGGAGAATTAAATCTGATGAGGACCAGGCAGGACTTCAAAGAGACCTGGACAGACTGGACACCTGGTCCAGCAAATGGCTTCTCGAATTTAATCCTGCCAAATGCAAAGTCATGAAGATAGGGGAAGGGCACAGAAGACCACAGACAGAGTATAGGCTAGGTGGCCAAAGACTGCAAACCTCACTCAAGGAGAAAGATCTTGGGGTGAGTATAACACTGAGCATGTCTCCGGAAGCACACATCAATCAGATAACTGCTGCAGCATATGGGCGCCTGGCAAACCTGAGAACAGCATTCCGATACCTTAGTAAGGAATCGTTCAAGACACTGTACACCGTGTATGTCAGGCCTATACTGGAGTATGCAGCACCTGTTTGGAACCCGCACTTGATAAAGCACGTCAAGAAACTAGAGAAAGTACAAAGGTTTGCCAAAGGTTAGTTCCAGAGCTAAGGGGAATGTCCTATGAAGAAAGATTAAGGGAAATCGGCCTGACGACACTGGAGGACAGGAGGGTCAGGGGAGACATGATAACGACATATAAAATACCGCGTGGAATAGACAAGGTGGACAAAGACAGGATGTTCCAGGGAGGGGACACAGAAACAAGAGGCCACAGTTGGAAGTTGAAGACACAAATGAGTCAGAGAGATATTAGGAAGTATTTCTTCAGTCATAGAGTTGTAAGGCAGTGGAATAGCCTAGAAAATGACGTAGTGGAGGCAGGAACCATACACAGTTTTAAGACGAGGTTTGATAAAGCTCATGGAGCGGGGAGAGAGAGGGCCCAGTAGCAACTGGTGAAGAGGCAGGGCCAAGAGCTAAGACTCGACCCCTGCAACCACAAATAGGTGAGTACTGATATGAATATCATCAGCTCCAGTTGCCAATGACTGCCATGCAGAAAGTGTGGACTCTAGCTCTAGGAGAGTGAAAGGTACGTTATACAGCTCCATTCCATTGGTAGACTTAGATGCGAGAAATGAGACATGGACAAGATAGTTCCCGATTTCTGTGGCTACTTCAAAAGGTTCCACAACACTAACACCAGCAACTCTCAAAACTGGAGCTGGGTCTGGAGCATACTTGCCACACAACTTCAGTACATTCTTCCTAACCCCACACACAGGGAAAGTCGAGGTAATGGTAGACACATAGCCTTGCCAACAAGTGTGTTTAGCGTCACGTATGATGAGGCGAGCGACTGCCCTTGCCTGCTAAAAACCCAAAACACGATCTGAGGTCCAATTATGTCGATAATGGCCCCACGCAGCATGTTTCAAATGCACTGCACAGGCACATGCAGGAGACCACCAAGGCATGCATGCCTGCAAATGCCTGCCTGAGGCATGATAAATAGAACGTGATGCTGCAGTCAATACTAAGATTGAAAACTGGTGCACCAGCTCATCAAGAGAGGATGAAGAAGGGTCCCCACAAAGAGCGGTAAGATGAGAGTATAATTCCCAATTCGCTAGCCCAAATTGCCAACAGGGGCTACGAGGTGGTCGGGAATACATAGTAGAAGTAAGAAGAATAAGAAAGTGATCACTGTCATGCAAATCTTGGAGAACATACCAAGCATAATCAAGTGCGATTGACGAGGAACAGATAGAAAGATCAATGCAAAAGAGAGAGAGAGTGTGTGAGAGTCAAAATGGGTGGGAGTACCCTTAAAACATGAAGAGGATGAGAAGTGAGAAGAGTCTCCAATTCATCACCATGAGTCACAGTGGGACCCTCCCCATAAATGATGGTGAGCATTAAAATCACCTAACAGCAAGATGGAGGCAGCAGAAAAGAGATCAAGAATGTAATATCCGAGATACAGAATGCATGGGAAGGGGAGAGATAGAGAAAACTGTATGCCATCTGTGCCAATAAATATGGGCTGCAGTATAATGCAGCAGAGAACGAACAAAGACCTGTTGATACAGTATACAAACATGCACAAGAAGTGCACTCTCATTAAATGATTCATCGGGAAAGGGATCAGAAGAATGCAACAGCACACAGCCTGATATGGAACGAAAAACAGCTGAACGAATTTTGGGCTCTTGTAATCCGAAACATTCTGGGGAAAACAGGGAGAGCAACACCTGGAGCTCTCCTCCATTACCCCTGAGGCCACGAATATTCCATTGTAAATAAGTCATTTTTCACAAAGACAGGTATGCCAACAATAAGAAGCAATAAAATCTATGGACTATTTGGGTCAATGAAAGCATGTAAGCAAGAGGGAATCAGAATGCTGTGAAAGAAAAGATTGCTGTGAGGGTCGTGAGAAATAAGGAGTAGTAGGAGGAGGTGCATCAAAGTCCATCAAAGGCTTCATCTCCGCAATATAGCAGGAGATAACGTCAAGTGTCTCAGCGGATAAGGAAGATGCTGATACCATGACTTTAGAGACAGGTGAGGTAAAGCGAGTAGAGATCGTGGAGAGTATGGAGGGAACCAAAGAGGCCTGAGAAGGAAGGGGAGTATGAACCAGGAGAGATGCGCTGGAGGGGACAGAAGAGTCCTGTGGTGGAACAGGAGAGGAAGGAGGCTGGAAGGTAACTGGGGAAGAAGTCTGGTGGGGAACAGTACAAGAGGGGACCACACAAGGAGGGTAAACCTCCACCTTCGTGTGAAAACTAGGCACCGAGGCTGAAAAGAAAAGCTGTTGAGGAATTGTAAGCACTGGAGGAGTGGCCTTGCATACTGAGAAACTAGCAGGTGAGAAGTAGAGGTAGGAATAGGTTAGAAGGTGGGGGTTTCAGAGGGTAAACCTGCAAAAGAATTAGAGACTGGGGTGACCCTGGAAGACATGACACTGGAGGAAATGGTAGAACATTAAAATGGTATAAAATACCGACAGGTTGTTAGGTAAGACACATATGCAACAGTTAGGTATCTTTATTGTGAAACGTTTCGCCTACACAGTAGGCTTCTTCAGTCAAGTACAGAAAAGTTGATAGAAGCAGAAGATACTTGAAGACGATGTAATCAGTCCATCACCCTTAAAGTTTTGAGGTGGTCAGTCCCTATGAAACAATATTGTTTCATACTATGGAACAATGCTCTTCTCCAGACTGAGGGACTGACCACCTCAAAACTTTAAGGGTGATGGACTGATTACATCGTCTTCAAGTATCTTCTGCTTCTATCAACTTTTCTGTACTTGACTGAAGAAGCCTACTGTGTAGGCGAAACGTTTCACAATAAAGATACCTAACTGTTGCATATGTGTCTTACCTAACAGGAGCTGGTAGGCAGAGGAACCGCCAAGATTGGAGGCATGTTGTAAAAGAGCTTTACCAATACTATGGTCAGAAAGATAATCAGTTGGAGATGTCGGTTGTAGGGAAAAGAATTTAGTCTACTGTGTACTTTTAAACAAGGTGCATAAAGGAAATGGATGTTGCGTTGGTCGTTTTTGGATGGAACGAGAAGATATCGAAGAACCATCATCAGCAAATGGTCTGGAACCTTAAGACATAGTACTGCGGGTGGCTGAACCTGAGGTAGGTGGGTGATCTGAAAACTGCTGCACCATATTCAGGGAAGCCAGACGCGCAGTTAAAAGCGTACAAGAGGTAGAGGCATTGGCAAAAATGGGCGGAGCCTCAGTACCTGGAGCAGGTGACGAAGCATCACCAGCAGAAGGCACAGGGTTATGGGAAGTGTCTGTAGAATGGTCCAGTAACGAAGCCGGGTAAGAACAGGATGCAGGAACATACAGGGGCCTGGGAGGATGAGGGTTATCATGGAGCAAAGACTCCATGATAGTGGTAGTTCATTCTTATTATTTTAAAGAAAAGAAAAAAAAAAGAGGGAAAGTGAAGGGACAGTCACTAGCAGGCATAAAAGGGCTGTAAGTTTCTCCTTTCATCCGAGAGGACCTCGAGCCTGCAAGCAGCGCAAATGCAGCATGGAACCCATGCCATACCCTACCCTTCACACCTGTAAATCAGTGTTCCGGGATAGCAACCTCACATCTACCTAGCCACCTCACCTGACAAAAGAGAGGGCGGCCGGAAACCCACCAATAAGCATACCTCCTTCGTCTGCCGCCTCCCAGAACAGACAGGCAACCTCTGGAGATACACCTGTCACCTGAAGGAGACACTACCCATTTCTCAGAAATCCAGGGAGCAGAGTGCCTTCAGACAATCCAGATTCCATGGCAAACTACACCACACCCGAGGAACCTCACAGAGCAGGATGAACCCGAGCACATTTTCCCCTACCTAGAAACTCTAATGCCATGGGGGAGAACCCCAGAGGCTACAAATGGGATGGGGAAAAGGGAGGGCTGGGAGGGGGAAGAAAGGGAAAAATAGAGGGAATGGGATAGGGAAGGGAGGATTGAGGGGTAATTAGGTTCGGTCTGAGGAAGGAGACCTGAGAGTCTAATTCCTCCAAGAGCCTCTTTGCCACATCAAGGAGCCCCCCTTGAAGAGTGGAGCACAATAACAGACCAGGGGTGGGGTAATTGGGTGATTTAGATCCGGTCCGATGGACAAGGAGCCCACCATCACCACAAAGGCCCCCACATGAAATTTTTGCATCACTAGAAATCTTGGTTTGCATCATTCCTGGGAAAATTGATTGCAGGACCATAGTCAACAAGATCAAAGAGAAAATCAGAAGCCTTCAAAAACATCTACACTCGCCAATGTGTATTACATTATCTGGCCAGTGTAAGACAGCAAGGCAGAGGCAGCAACTCGTACTTTAAATTACCATGACCAAAATTTTTTTTCCAGAAAATGTGTTTTAAGTGAAGCTTGTCTATTTATGAAAAACACATGATTCTGGAATTTTTTTCATAATTCGTATGTAACTTCTATATTATAAAGAACATGCACATTAATTAATGTATGAAGTTTCAGAGGTGTTCACATTTTTGTAAAATAATCAGATTATACTTGTGCCCAATACAATTATGTAGCTAATTCATATTTCTTGTTTTGACAGATAAGTGAGCATCTCAACTTAGTGAAGGCTTCCTAATAAAGTCCTCAGAGGCTTTAGAGAGACAGTGTTAATATAGAGACTTCTTAGAAATTCTTAGAACTTCAACAGCTGTAGTCCAACACCGTGAGAGGCATCATGAATATCATAACATATGAAACTTCTTAAAAAGTTCCACTAGTGGCAAGAAAGCTCTAAAACAGAAATTTATCAGCACAGTGAAACGTCCCATGGAACATTACAGGATAAGTATTAACACTAGGAGAGCCATAATGGCGTCCAGGCCCCCTGGAAAATGGTGCACTGGACACTGTGTACAGTGACGGGGTGTAGGTGAGGCACCACACTCTGTAATCCCTCCGAGGGCAGTGACCGCCGCCATGGACGGCCACAGGAGTGGGGACCTGACGGCACTGCAGTACAATCAACGGTCATCAAGATCGCTGGGGCGGTGTTCAGTCTGCTGCTCACGTTTAGTTTCCATGTTATGCTCCAACCTTGGCGTCTGTGCCCTGGTGCTGCTGTACACGGTAGCTGGGGCCTTTGTCTTCACTACTATTGAAGGTGGGGACATGTCACTGCAGCTAGATACAGGACCTGCACCACCTCGGGACTCAGCAGTGATGGAGTCTATTCGTCAACATGCACGAGGCCTCCGCCACGAGACTGTGGAACACTTGTGGACTATCACAGAGTCCCTTAACATACTCTACCGCGATAACTGGACCAGAGTAGCTGAACAGGAGCTTCTTAAGTTTAGCGAAAAGCTACTTAACAGACTGCATGAAGAACAACCTCCGCCCAACCCCGCCCCAACCACCGCCCACGCCTCATACCAATGGACCTTCGCAGGCTCCTTCCTCTATTCCCTCACCGTCATCACAACAATTGGTAAGTCCTCCACTTCTCTGCTCTGCTTTGCTCTACACTTTTATCATGACCTCAATGCTCTCCCTCTGTCCACAAAGTCTCTCAAGTACCGGAGGCTTGGCTAATGTGCAGCGTGAAACTTTAATGTTAGGAAATTAAAGTTAGCATTTTAAAAAATCTACCGACTGCATGTGGGTTTTTAAGGTTGCTTTTCATTTATAAACTAACATTAACAATACTGATATTCATGAAAGAAATTAAATTAAGCTCAGTGTAATATACACAGACATCTTTGCATCTGTAAACTAGGGTGTACATCTCTGGGTGTATATAAAATGATATATACGCTTCTCGTTATATATATGTAAAGAGAGCTTCAGGGGGCAGAGGGCTAAAAAAAATGATTTTTTTCTACTCATCCTATTTCAATAAAATTTGTACTGTGATTTAAACAGCATTTGTTACGTTGACACTGTTTGTAGTGACTTTTGTCTCAAAAGATGGAGAAAAAATAATAATGCTCTATTTTATAGGGTATAATACAAAAATCATATCGCAAAACTGGTAAGATTTACAATGTCCTAGTTGACATTAGATAAAAGATAAAGGTCTAAATAGGAACCAAACAACAAGCTTTTCAGGGGAATGTCAATACATTGCATAATATTATTATTATTATTATTATTATAATCAAGGGGGAAGCGCTAAACCCAGAGGATTATACAGCGCCTGGGGGGGGGGGATGTGGAAGGCATTCAGGCTTAATTTGGGAAACTGGAGCACAGATCCAATTCCCTAAATCAAGAGCCCCTCACCAACATCAAGGAACCTTCCTTGAGGGGCACATTGCATAATAAAAAATGTTGGTTTGTCTTTATTTTAAGAATTTTGGGGGGAAAAAGTAAAAAACACAAAAACAGTAAAGTATATTGCAAATATCTCGTTGTCTTGTTCTAAAACAATGCAAGCCCAATAATGTGTGAAACAATCATGGCATTTCGTCACATAGTTTTCGCAATATGATTAGTGGAATGTCAATAACTTATTCCTGAGAAAAAGAGAAATGCCATTTTCTGTAATACGCTTTGTGGGCGTCAGATTTCGCCTCGCCATGCACCCTACCCCATCCCCCTTGACTGCAGCCCAAAGGCAACTGTGCAGTTCTCACTCGGAACACTAGTATGGAGTCGACAGAGAAGATGCCATGTAGTGTATTTGGAGAGAAACAATGATAAAGATCTAATTTTTTGGAGTAAAAAAAAGAAAAAACACACTAATTGGCATCATGTCCTCTTGATGACAGCAAGAACAAAAAAAAAAAATACATTTTTGGAAAAAGATACTTAGAAATATGACAGAAACGAGCTGATTGCATCAACATGTTGCCAGATTATGCACTATTTTTCGGTAAGAAAACATTTTTTTCAAATTTTCGTTTCTTTCCTGTAAAAGCCCCCCCCCCCCATTCAGTTTTCTGCCTCCGGTGATATCTAAATAAGTGTCCACACCATCCATGGTTAGAGGCAGTGCCGAAATTTAGGTATGGAGGATCGAGTCTCTTCTCCATATATATTGTATGATCCTCACGGGTTTAATGCGTAAGAGACTAGAGGAATTTCAGTCGCTGCGCGATCCAAAAAAGGTTCCCCATATTTCATAATCCCAGACCCTTGTTCCTCAATGCAAGCTATTTGAATAGTGCTTCATAAGTTGATAATGCATTTTTTTAACCCTAAATATTAGGGTTAAAAAAATGAAGGGAATCAGAACAGGCGTTCACAAATCATGATAAGGAAACTGACAGTCACATTTTTTTCAATAGAAATGGTAAATTAAAACATACACAGACCAAATCTAATTCAATAATTCAAAGTGACTAAGATTCCATTACTGTAAATTACATAAGAACATTTAACTTTAAGCCACTAAGAAGTTGTATTGTTACATTATCAGCATTAAGGAGTTGAGGCTTATTCAGTACTACTCAGAAATTATCGTTTAAGAAGCAAATTTCAGTTTTTTCAATTTCTTAAAAAAAAAAAAAAAAAAAAAACTGGGAACTTCACAGGGCAAAAAGCAATCCAAAGTTTTCTTTAAAACTGGCCAGGTTTTAAAAAAGTAAAGAAAGTTTTTCGGAAACTTAGTGTACATAACAGTGGCCTTAAGAGCACACAAATGTTATAGGCATATTAAAGATCATGAGGCTGATTCAACCTAGCATGAGCCTATAAAGTCAAATACTGTGACTTATGTCTAATCATTTTCACAAAAACCAATTCGATTAATAAAATTGTCACATCGTAACTTACACAACCTACCATCAGGAGATAGTTTCGTCTCAGGAAAACACATCAACACTGTAAGTTGAAAATTGACTAGAAGATACATTTTCCAGTTTTTGTTCAAAATTTAACAAAATTTGACCTTACACCGTGTAAACCCATGAAACGTTCCACCCATTTCACTGAATGCATTAGCCATTGAAGATTGAGGACGTTCGGAATGGTTATATTTTATTCGGTAGAAATCCCTCAAAACGTAGGGGTCATATAACGCCTGTGGAATGCGAGGCATTCACATTCGATCGCAACAATGGGAACATAAATTCAGTTCATTGGATCTAAAGCCCCTCACCAGCATCAATGCAAAATATTGCAATAAGGTAAAATAATTCTATAGTATTTCGAGATTAAAAAGTGGCAAAATGGCATCTATATTCTTGATCAAATATACCAGACTACTACTGAGTAGGCTGCTGCCCGCTTGGAACCTGTCTCCACCAATCATGGGTACGAAAAGTGCTAATGACCAAAGTAGCCTAGTACATTGTGCACCCACCCATGCAAATAGTCCCTTTAATCTTGCCAAGGATATATTACACCAGCGTTGAAAATTTGAAGCTCATCGAATAAAGCGTTTTTGATTAATAAAGGGAAATTTGTGGAAAAAAATATGAAAAAATTGCCGAAAAATCTTAAAAAAAAACAAGAAAATAGGCAAGTCTCCCCGAGGTAACTCAAAAAACACCATAGAATACAGATTTTTTATACTTTTAGTTTTCCTGTTCTTATTTACATTCTGTTTAAAATTCCCTACAAATACCCAATTCAATATAACTGACAAAAGAACTGGTAAACTGGCACCAACGCAACCTAAACTTAATACAAAAATACTTCACCATAAGAAACACGACTCTTTAAGAGTTTGAAACTAGTAAGTTGGGAAAACTCAGACAAGCTGTGTCCTAATAAAGCCCATCAACGATTCTAAGCTTTATAATTATTTCAATAAAATTTCAAATACATCGCCAATAATATTATGCAATCACAAGAAACATTCTTTAGCTATTGAATAAAAATATAATACCTATTTATTCAATATAATTGATAAGTAGTGATTTATGGCAGCTTATAAGTAGTGAGGCTTATGTACGGGAAACCTCACCAATAGTAAAAATTTGAAGTCGATGAGATTAGGCTTTCTCCATAGATTCTAATTCTTTTTCCTATTTTACAACAAGTTTACCTGCACTTAATAGGCTCTATTCTGACTCTAGCTTAAATCAGCCGTTAAATTTTGAAGCCGTTCAGAAGATGTAAACTGAAATTTAAAGCGATTTAATGCAAATCAAAATTTTACACTTTTTTTTTTTTACACCAACACTTTTGAACTTCACTCTCCGCCGTCGTCAATTTTTTAGGCAGCTTTGAACGTTAAGTCATGAATGTCGGATTGAGTGGCTGAATCCACATGTTCGTTACCATGAACATGCTTGTGTCCAGGGAAATGCAATGTAATCAGAGTTGTACATGGATTACTTTCGAATGTGGCGAGTCATTTTTTATCAGATTTTAACGTGCTTTGGGAGTCTGAACAATAATAAAGGAAGAGGTTAACATAGTTGCATTGTGTATGCTGGCTGACTAAATGTTTCTGAATCGTTTCATCAAAGAAAAAACCCATACGCTATTACGTCCTTCTTGATTTTGGGTTCAGTAGCATATGAATGTGACCGAAAATGTTGGAGAAAAAGCAGACGCTAGTTTTTAGTAGGTATGTGAGCCATCGGGCATAGATCGGGAGGACCATCCTCGATCGCTGCGCGTTTCCGAGGCGTTAAGGAAAAATGCGATACTTGGTGAATGTATAAGGGTGGGAAGGTAAGTGATGTTATTCGAGATTAAACACGGAAAATAAAACTTCGTAACAAATGCGGTTGGCGGTTGAATAAATTAAACTTATCTGTGGTGAAAATGCTGTAAAGAAGGAACGTTCGCTGCTGAAGACATGATTTCCTTTGGCGAGGATCGACAAGCTCCCAGAAAGAAGCATAACTCTTAATGATGACTGGATCAAGTTTATTATGAGTAGCCGTCAAAGTTGTGGAATATACTTGGTCTCCGAAGTCTAGCTTGGAGATCATAGCTGAATAATGTCCAAGAATTGTTTGCCTAGCAACACCCAAAGAAAAATTTGGAAAAGTTTTCAAGAGGTTTAGCCGAGTACGACTGGAAGTTTCCATGAAGGTGATGTGAAATTTCTACGACATTTTATTGTGGAAATGGAGGCAAAGGGAATTTAATTATATCATGAACTGTGAGAGAGAAAATATGTAGGTATAGGATAGGTCGTTTTAGCAGTGGAAAACCTGAAACCATAGGCAGTGGCCCAGGTGGTAGCATGATCGATAGTAAGTTGGAGAATATTCGTCCGAGTTGACACTCTGAGCGTACACAAGTGACTGCAAAGTTGCAATTATGTAAGGATGATTAAATACCTGTGGGAAGAACTAAGGAATGACAGTTTGTAGCTATTAGAAAGCACTGAGAAAGCACCCTTCTACTTGCATAAAGTCTTCTGCTTGAATAGTGTGTCTCTGAAAGAAATTCTTTAAGAAAAGTGGTAAGTTACAATAGAGGCCTCAGGAGAGGACCTTGAGTAATTGGTTGGCATGACAGATAGAATCGCAAGGTTCTTCCAGATCAAAACATGATTATTATGATTATGATTAATGAATCATTAA